AACCGCGGTTTACAATGGTGAGCGCCGCCCCAGTATCTAGCTCCATGTCTATCGGTTCATCCTCTATCATTAAGGGTATTGTGTAAGGAAGACAGTTTTTGAGTGTCACACTGTTCAAGTACACGGAGTTATGCTCACTATTCAAATTTTCTAGGACCTCATCTTCCCGTAGCTCTATCTTGCTTTGACAATTTGACGAGGCGATGTTCGTGAGGCGGGAATTTTCAGCCTACAGGCACGTGCTAGATAGCCTATCTCGCCGCATTTGTGACAGCCAATTTCTTTGTGCCGGCAATCGGAAGCGTGAGAGTGCCGCAAACTGCAACGATAACACGAATTGTTTTTGATGTTCACTGGTGTCTGGTTTGCGGACAGAGTGCACAGCATCAACTACCGGACGACCGGTGAACTGGCATAATTGATGTGTAACATTCTCTGGCTGCCAAATGATGAGACAAACGTTTTCCCACTTGGCGGCCGACTCATCCAAAGAAAACAACTTCTCTCTGGCACTTTCATCCGATAGTCCCGTAATCAATCATTGAATTTTCATTTGCAATTCAATTTTTTCAGGCGGAATATCATTATACGTACACTCAGAAATAGATTGATGTTTACGTGCAATAAAATCATGGACACTTTTGTTTGGCTTCTGGATTAGTTTTGAAAAGCAGTATCTAATGGTGTATACCTTTTGTTTCAACTCCCATAACGTGGTCTAAGTATTCAAAGCAAAACTGAGGGTGGCTTAGTTTTCCAGTTGTAGGGTATTCTAGTGCCGTTGAGCTTCATCGCCAAGCCCTTGCCTGTATAGTGTGAGTTTGTGAGCATCAGAAAGGCGAACGGTCGGATTCAGTACAGGAAGTAATTCCACATAGTTAGCAAATGATTCCTCCATGTTATCCAGTTCGATAAAGTCGGTTTCTCCCCAGCAGATGATCAAAGGATAGGAGGTGTATTCAACATTGGACGCGTCATTTTCGTCGCCACTAAAACCTAGTACCACTAAGCATGTAGCGCCCGCCTCCGAGACACATAATCTCAGCAAGCAGAAGACATCTGAACACCAGGAGTGTTATCACTCAATTGTGAAGGTACAAGATTCACGGAAACGCGCATTGCGCGATCGGGGGCGTGTGTCAGATGAATTTCTGGCTGGTATGAGTAACAACTCATCCGAGCGCAACTGAAGTAAACAGATCAAAGTTATTCGCGTACTTGACAATTACGATCCGAGGAATTTCCATCGTTCACGCTTGTGTTTTGAAAACAACAGGTTATCAGGACAGTCACCAAGTGGTTAGTCAAATCGCCACTATCTCTAAACTGCTCACATGAATCATAATTCGGTTACATTCTGGTTCTGGTGAGCAGACAATCTGTGAAGTCCAGACCAGCTTTCACACATGTAGGTAAAGAATTAAACGCAGAGTCGCAATTTGCAAAGAGTTGGAAAAACGGTGCTTATTCTGACACCGCAATACAGTCCTCTGCCCTTGCTCTATCATGTTGGATTCTGTTTTTGCTTTGGAAATGCTGTCTTATACGTATTGTATTGCTGTGAATTGTGCACCAATGGTTTGCTTTTGGTGCATTTTGCTATCTGTGGGAAGTTGATGGATATTCTCCGGCTACTGTCGGAGATCTCACTGATTGGTTCAACTGCCGTCTTGGATTTGTTCTACAGTAATCTAAACGGCGTGTGGCAAACCCCAGCGTTTGGATTCAGCATACAAATGTAGACGTTGCAACAGACGACTTCCCCAGATCTGACAGTCACAATGGCACCTACTGGTTGCACACGGAAAGCTAAACCCAAAGCTTTCGAAATTAACGTTAGTTTTGTCGTAGACAGCTGTGTAAAACTTGTGCGCTTTGGAAATAGAATGCAGAAACTGCCGACAATACTACCATTCTCGATGTGCTGACCTTAGCCACAGCCAGATAAATTAGCTTAATAGTACGACTGATTCTCTGGTCCTGCACTGGGTGAACCTTCCTTCCACTCTTCAGATGTTTAACTGTGTTGGCGCAGAAGTACGATAGGCTGACAAAGATTGTAGAGCAGGCAGCAGACGTGAAAGCTATCGCACATGAACCAGACAAATAGTTCCTCGAACTCGATGCTCAACATCAAGTTCTAATTCAGCACAGTGTAAGAGTAAGGATCCAGAGTTAGCCACCCCGACAGTAGCGTCTGCTCATAAAAATGCGTTCACCACACATTCCTCAACAGAATCACCCGCCACACTAAAAACTGTTATAGGGTCCGCAATCTACGCATCCGTTGTTGCTACTCATATCACGGAGGCACCTCCCATTGCAACCCCGCAAGCTGCCAAACGAGTTATTACTACGAATATCACCAAGGGACTCAAGATCCCATCATTTGTCCAACCGAAGAAAGCAGCCATGAGTCCCTCCAACATGAATCACTACAATAATTCTCTAACTGTTATATGCTCTAATGTGACTGAATCACGGGCGAACTCCATAAAAGATAAGATACTAGACGACAAAAAAACTAGGACTCCCTGTGTCAACTAATAGGGGTTCAAGCTAAACCAGTCAGTATGATGCATCTCGTTTGTCACCCAAACTCCGTACACTAGCGTGAACTGCGGTTACTCCGGGTAACATTTCAGTCAGGTAATGATGCAATGGCAGTTCTGTTGTCAGCCACTCGCCTCCGTACCACCACATGCACTGTTCTAATATTTCCAGATGTTCCTTGGGACGAACGCCAGAAAGGCAAACAAAATCCGGATTACTTCCGTAAACAACAAGACGCAAAATTTATCCTTGTTCACGGTGTCCCCGAGCTTCGTACATTAAGCGAGCTAGAGGCCCAAGCGCATGCCTATGATGAATGGCGTTTTATTCGTGAAATACTCTCACTCGAAAATGTTATCGCTAATTCGAGTAGCGGAAATGTTCGCATATTAATAGTATAAATGCATTGCTTGGGATTTTGGTAAGACACCGTTTAATTTGGTTTCGTAGCCCCTGGCTAATAAGTTATAACATAAAGGGCACATGGGGTAACACATCGTCAACTCGTTTTTCAAATATTGGAGTGCAGTACCTTCAGTACAGGTAGTTGTTTCTCTAGACCTTTCGACATGTCGCGGTTAGTGATTGAAATACTAGGAGATGTACCGCATGAAACCGGTGGTGCTTGCGCTAGCAAAGCTCCGCTACGCTCTTCAGTTTCCGATCCAATTGGGGGCGATGTTAATTTTAAAGGACGGCTCTTTTTGGAAGCAACTGTAACCTAACTGTCGCTAGTACCGGCTTGCTGTTTTTCTGCGCACTCCGTCGGGAGATTAGCACTAGCCTTAGGTGTACGTACTCCGATCGTAATGGCAACCTCATTACGCAAAGGTGAGCTACTTGTGGCATTGGAACAACAGTTGATGTTCTGGACTCTAGGTGTTGTTTTGCTTACGGAGTTACTAGCCGTTCTCCTCAGGATAGAAGTAGCACTTATGGGGAGGCCTGGATTGCACAGTCCGCTACGCTTGCCACAACCGTGGTGATTATCGTGGTCACCATTTCCTCAAACTTGGCTAGGAGCTGGTTACACTTCTGAGACAATAGGAGCACGCTTTTTATCAATTGTATCGATGTGAATTCCACTCAGAACCATGGAGAGTCTGGTTTGTTTAATAATGTGGCCTGACTAGATTTAACTCGGGGACATTTCGTATAGAAAATCATACAACAGTTAAGGCATGGATTGCCCCCCTTAACAGGTTTCGAAGATAATCCACCCAGGTTTTTAGACTCTGGCCCACTAGGCACCGCGCTTAGTAAGCAAATGTTACGAAGCATTTGAATGACTCACCCACTATGGTAATAGGTTGTTCTGTTACTGCCCTTGATGGCAAAGTCACCGTGTTTACGTCGCACTAATGTGCTTGCAGACTGTCCTTTCTGGCGTGCCAGTCGAATGTGTAAGCGTCAACTTGGGGCAGGTTACAGCGTGCCTGCTCGATTGACAGTTTGGTCCCGTGGTTGAGGATTACTCAATGGCCTTTCGAGTTCCATCTGTACGGCAATGAGATGCGTGACAAACCAATTGCGGTGCAACCAAGCCTGACAATAAGAGAGTGCACAAAATTTGTTTACTTGTAGTACTAAGCAGAAACATTACAAATATTATAAGAGGTCGTTTCTGGGAAGAGTGGAAACAGGGAAGAGAAGAAAGATGCTTCTGCATATTACTAGCAACCCTGCCTTGGGTTGCATTGATGGGACCATGATGGGTCTACACACAACATCCCCAATAGGAAAACTTCCGGTTACCTGGACTGAGGAGCCGTTAGGAACCGCCACTTCACCGCTTCGCTTAGCCAATTCCATAGAAATCATGCTCGGTTTCAGTTTTCGTCGCTAACATATGTTGCCAGTGCCCACCCAACCGTCGCTACCGACCCATGGTCCTCTGATAGTATACATACTTCCTGTGGCATGTTCACCGCTCGCCTGGGGTTCATTCGAGGCACCAACGGATATTTAGAAAATCAGAGTCCAAATGCGCTAACCACGCGCTTGTTTCTTGACCTTCCTACCTGATGTTTCGTGATTGTGCCCCGCCATGGACTGGACCATAGGCTTTATCTTTCGGTCAGAGATTCGTGATATGGTTAGCAATTGAAGGGGATGATAAATCGCAACACACGACTCCTCAATGTGCCATTTCAGATAAAGCCGACGTGACAAGTGCTACTAAGGCAGCGGAGTTGACCCCCAGCATGCAATCCTACTCAACAAACGCTGAATACAAGATACTAGGCGTGCATAAATAAGGTTGTCTCTTATCTCAAGGGTTTGATTCACTGACGTCTAAATCTATAAGGCGGTCACTGTTTCCTTTCCGCTGTTGCCATATGATTGGCCTCCATTTGAGCTCTGGTATCAGTATGCACGATGGATATATTACCATTTCAAGTTACAGGATACCTTCCCTCTCCCGGCTAATCCCATCTGATCTTTAATCACCTCACCAAACCAACGAACTCGGACATTTCCCAGTGCATCCCAGTTGGTCTGACGGTTTTTAATGCGAACACAAGCTCTGACAAGCTGGCCAGAGTAGTAGAGCACATCTTTTCGATAGGCTGCTTTACGCACACATGCATTGAGTGCGTTAAGGGGCCCGCCACCGATGCATGTCGACTGTTCGATTCGTCTACCGACGAGCATCCGAGTTCAGTTAGTTCAGCACCGCGTTCTAATCCGGAGGTCAGATGCTCCGGTACACGGAGATTCATGACAAAAAGAAAATTTCACCCAATCTCGGCTGCTTTGACGATGTGCACTGGCTCAGGCAATCTGTCTGCGATCGAACAGCGGCCTCCTCCTTACCATATTATCCGACAAGATCAAGCGTGCGTACCTAACAGGTTGCTGGTAATGCAAACATAACCGGGTTCAGTCGGAGTATGGCGACAAAATCAACATGGTCACTCCTACCATCGGTTTTCCATCATAGGCTTGGATTTAATCCAACTGACGTATGAAACAGTACACACGAGCCCTTGCGTCGAACAGTGGTTGCCTTTGAGGAGTGTTGGTAGGTGGTTGCTCCTCAGACAGATAGCCTGAGTGCACTCAGGCTGACAAATGAACCGAAGCAAACTAAGTGCAGCTACGTAGTGTGGAAGCGTTTCACGAATCTTTGACCGTGGGAACATCAGATTCATGTCGATGGAAATCAGAGAGGGACGGTAATCTTCAAGAGGAAGACGTGGGCTTCCAGCTAGATTAGTTTTGGGTATTTGTCGTTAGAATGAGCTAGATGACTAGGGTTTTACTTGGCAACCCCTCCACATAGGCGAAGGGGTTTATTTTGGTCAGCCTTCAGTTGAACTGAAACGCCAAGGTGCTCGAAGTTTATTATTTTGTGTAGTGTAACTGCTGGTCTGGGAAACCCATGACCATCCGGATACTGCAATGCTAGTTGGTGTACCTCGTCCAAGAATAATCTCTTATTCGCTCCAGCCTCCCTGTTTGGGGTCTTGGAATCCTCTCCTTGGAGACGCTCATATGCTCAATACAACGCTGTGCAGCCGTGAAAGCGCTCATTGGAGACATGTCTACTGTGTAGTCCTGAATGAGCAGTAATTCAAAATACCCTGCTTCTGGTACGACTGTTGGGAAACTGCTCGTCTCATCGGCTTATCTTGATCTTTGGAGCCAATTTCTTCCAGGTGGATGGCCATGAATGCTCCCTCATGTGACACCAAGTCCTACTTAGCATAGGTTAATCTCCCTGAGCTCTGATTCCAACACTACCTCGGCATGTCTTCGAACGACCGAGAAGAACTGCTTTTGCACTACCTCGGTTTGCATTGTATGTGTTGCATGTCTATGTATTGTGGCCTACTCTCATGACATAGACCCAGTAAGTAAGTATGTTCTAATACAATAGCCTCCGACACGTATCCGGTGACACAATTGCAATAGCTCTGACTGTCTGCGGGATATACTCCAAACTAGCAGGCTTCGACGGTATATCGATTCCACCATTCCTGCTCGCTCATAAACCTGTTCCGCTCACGAACGGGACAAAGAACAGGGTAGTCAATGGATGATACCTGTTATGAAGCCGAACACTTGGGTCCCAATAGTTGAAGTTATAGAGCGCACTCTGCTCTGTGGTTGTTGACCCTGGATCCCAAGTCTCAAGACTGCCTTTATGTGGCGAAGGACAGAAACTGCCGTACGCTGTTGCCACATTCCTGATAAGCTCCTACTGTCAAGACATGTACGATGGCACCTTCGACGCTCTTGTCATGTGAACTGCATATGAGGGTTGCAAATGTACGTAGGCGTTATCATACCAAGTTTGGCATGTTGAAACCTAGCTAGAATAATGCAAAGGATAGTGAAAGATGAAGTATTTATATTTCTGAACAACCATAACATCATCAGCAATTCGCAACATGGCTTCATGCAAGCTCGATCCTGCGCAACATGCCAGACTGACTTTTTAAACCACACGACGGCTGCCGTTGACTTCGGAAACAGTGTCGTAATCCTGTTCCTGGATATGCAAAAAGCCTTTGATAGAGTGCCTCACAGAAGGTTACTAAACAAACTGAAGGCTATAGGCATTGGAGAACCGATGTTTTCTTGGCTGTCTTCATATCTAATTGGTAGACAGAAGGTGGTGCGCATAGGTGACCATTTCTCTAAACCGAAAGCAATCACTAGTGGAGTGATTCAAGGGAGTGTTTTTGGTCCTCTTCTTTTTCTAATTGATTTTAACGATATATTCCAGAGAATTAGAAATGGTGTTACATTTATCTTTGCTGATGACATTAAAGTTGTCTACTCACAACCAGGTGCAAATACTCAGGAAGCCGAGCGTCATTCAGGATGACCTATCTGCCCTTGACTCCTGGTGCCAACTGTGGCAGATGCCATTTACCATGGACAGGTGTAATATTTTGTCGTACAAATGCCAAGTACCGCCAGACAATTTATTAATACAAGGCGCATATATCTCGCGACGCAGGGCAATTCGCGACTTGGGCGTGCAATATTCAGTCACATATAATTTTTCTGAACACTGTGACTTTCAAGGTTCGAAAGCCATGAAGACCATTGGTTACATCTGCCATCATTTTTATCTCATGGAATCTAGCATATCGTTTTACAAAACATAGGTATTGAGATGTATGGTATACTGCGCAGTGGTCCAGTCTACTCTGTGGGAATCCAACAGCATGTTCTTGCGAGGATCCAGAGACGCTTCACGAGAAAGCTTTGTGGATATTCCTTAAAGTTGACATTCAGAGAACGATGTGATAAACTTGGATTTGACCCAGTTTGGCTTCGGATAATGAAGCTGAACCTTCGCTTTCTTTAGAGAATTATAACTTGTCAAATTCGCAGTCTTGAAACGGTGTTCACATATCTTTAAACAGCAGATATCCAATACGTAACAAAGAGTTAAAGGTCATAATTCCAAAATTTACTATGAGAATCAGAGAACGTTTCTTTCTAACCCAATACTCAAAGATTTGGAACAAACTTCCAAGTGATATCAGAACATGCTATACAGTTTGAAATTTTAAGCTTGCGATTAGTATGCATTGAACCGTCCGAAACGTTATTAATATGTTCGGGACATCACAGACCCAGATAACGCATTCGGAAACGGTATCCATGGTGCCTGAATAAATTTTCGAAACACACACACACCATTTCGGACAACAGCCCCTTTCGTTACATTTTTTCGTGACCCAAACAAAAGTCAGGTGATTGGGAAGAATACTGGTTCGATGGCAGGAAAAAAATGGCAGAACGACTCTGATTACTCTATGTTACCTAACTTGCCATTGCGCCCATGTTTATTTCTGAAAATGTATTAATGCAATGTCATGGAAAGGCGGTACCAATGTTTGATCTGTTCCTTTTAGGGGACAGATTCTCGCATCGCCTAGGAAAATACAATTTATTTATTTATAAATAAATAAAATCGCTAATGTTTATTGGACTCAAAAATATCCACCGATGTGAGTGAGGCCTTACCTTATCCAACATGCTGAAATAATATTGAGGTAACACAAGACTGTACTAATTCTGTACTGAGACGGTTTAGAACAAGGTTTCTCATGTGGACGAAAAGCTATACCCACCAAAGGCACCCACGGGTACCACGGCACTGTAATTCATTCTATTCTGGCGCAGTGCAACATTTATGAAGGTGTATAGGAAAACAGTTTGTACTTCAGCATGCATCTTAGGCGACAGCAAATGCCAAGACAAACTTCCACATAGGCGCTGAGTGATGTGGATGTGGATGACATATGCAGCGGGCGAACTTACATGTGCTGTACCTCTCCGTTTCAAACGAAACGAACCTGAGTGAATCGAAGTGGGTTTTCATCTACTTGACATTTATCTCAAACAGACATGTCAAATTTGACTACACGCAGCGCAAATGTTTGCGGCACCTCTACCTGTCCAAGACGGCAGCCACTGCGACTGCCTCTACGATGCATTCATCTGCTATAGGTGATTCCGTTGGCAAGAAGATTAAGGTACCCTACCGCGTCATTTGAACACCCGATTGGTTTAAACAAATGTCCCACTTTCTTTTGAATGAGCGCCTAAGGAAAGATGCTTTCGCGAGAGCAGAACGACGACAAAATGTACGCTTGTAGTCTTGACTGGTTCTCCTAGGTGAGCAATTTGACTGCAATAAAATTGCTCAGCTCGGAGAATCAATCAATTTAGTCACAAACCCTATCATCGGGTATTAAGATTCATTACAAAATTTACGCATTCTTATGCGGTGTACACTGCATCTAGAACCTTTTAAATTCAGCCTGGTGAATGTGAAGCCTCGCCTCGCTTTCCTAACCCAATAGAAATGCATCGTGACTTCCAGACCGGCTCTGTGCTGGTCCGAAGCACATTTTCACCTTTTAACAATAATCTCGTGAGTGTGAGCAAATCAAAGTAATCTTGTTTGCTGATAAATTCAGAGTTTGGTATAACATCTAAACAACTGGTGAGCAGGCCACTGTAGCGACACTTCGATAGGGTTCATAGACTCTCCCGTGGGAATATAATCCAATGCAACTTGGCCAATTGCGAATTGTTGAACGTTCGCTACCGGTGCATTATAGAGTAACTGTTCGGAGGGCTCCGTTGCAATATGCCCCCCCCCATGAAACTGATCTCGTTGCACGCCTACAGGAAGAACTCGGCTGCGCAAGACAGGCCGGAAAAGCAGCAAGTAGAGTTGGTTAATAATTGGACCGCTTATGGAGGGGTTCTGGGAGATACTACTCAACCAACTTTCCGCAAAAAGGTACTACGCTTGCTTAAGGTCGCATGTGGAATACCCCATCCACGATTGACAGCTCTGGCGAAAGCGCAAACTTCGAAGGGCACCTTAATGTGCTGAGCGCTTAATCCCTCTTCCTTTCCGAGTTGGACTGAAGGTCCCCGGAGTTTTCAACACATGATGTTGCCGTTTGCGGAGTCGTCTTGTAATAATGTTAGATACTCAGTGACACCAAACACTCATGCCACCAACTGTGGAAGCGCAGCGACAAAACTAGCTTTCGAGGACACCAGCTGAGGTTGGCCACACAGTGCAGTTTTTTGGGATGCCGCCAGAATCTATATATTTCCACGTGTGCCAATGGTTAATCGCTATTCTTACCTCCATACTTTGTCCTCTCAATATCTGAATCAGTAAAATAACTTAGTTGCCGAATCTCTCAGCGACGAAAATGCGACTCTGGTACCT